CGGGTACGGTCCGGTGTACCGTGAATCATCCTTAAAGCAGAGATGCGGTTTTCTTGCATTCTGTTAAGCGGGACTTTGCAATCATGACTTCAATACTCTCGCAATTAGCTTTTTCAAGGACCGATACGTTTGAGACATGATGGAACCATTTTATTGTTAAGAGTTGTCTAAGATGTCTCTGTTGCAACTTGTTTAATGCGTTCATGTGTCGGCGGTACGGCACCCAGGTTTGGCTTCTATGTAAATATGGTGGGAATTATTATTACTCGGTACACTGCAAGTTTCGTTTTTGTGCTCAAGTCATAATTGTAGAAAACCCTGTCTTTTAATTTCCAGAATGCTCTTGAGGCGCTGCTAATCCTGTGCTGAATTTCAGAGTCGATATTGGCCTTTTCCGAAATCAAACTGCCAGGTTTCATCAGGTTTCTGCTAACTCGACTTTTCTCGGAAATTATGTTTCCTTTTGACAGAGAGTTAACCCGTGCTCTAAAAAGATTTTTAAAAGAATTGTGGTTTTTGGATTCCTCGTCTGTTAATGGATTAAAATTGGATCAAATTTGTGACTTGTGCAAATTCTGAAGAGAATAATATCTCAGTCTGGCAACGTCGCTCCGTCCACATTTACAAACGATGCACATTGTTTGTGCAGGATCACAAAAATCAAAGTGGGGAGAGGGGAAACCAGTGGCGCAGGAATGATATTTTTTCAGCAACCGATCCTTACCGTAGTTTATCTAGTTTAATCTGATTTTACAACAGAATACAGCCTGAGTAGGTCACATCACGTAGGATTTACACCGTATCCCTTTTAATTTAATTTCCGCGACGTTATAGGTCTATTCTTTGTTGCCTCCTTTATCTTATATGCCTCCTTTCTTGAGTTATAACTTATCCTTGAGTTATAACTTATCATTCAGTCTCCGGGCTTTGGCAAAAGCCAGTATCTAAGACGGTTTTACGGATGATACTTCTTCATCTCGGATATCAGTCGTACCAAAGTTTATGGCACGAATTGTTGTCATTTGACGCACTCAGTAATGAGGTGTTCTGGTGTTTCCCCATTTTCCCCACTCGCCGTTGTTTCTCGGCTTCAGTCTAGTGAGTTTCAGACAATCCGAAGATTCTTCTTATATAGGTAAATCAAGGAAAATCTTTGATTTTTCAAGGTGGTAAGTATTGAGAAATTTCCTCGAGTATTTTAGACCGGCTGGAGGATTTCCATTTGAGGTTACGGATAGAATCTTCCGGGTTCTTGAGTTCTGCAGAACGGTTCTGGTCCAATTAGTGGAGTTCGCTCGTTTCTAGCTAGATCGTTTGCTTTTTCATTGCCTTCTATCCCTTGGTGGGCTGGCACCTAGAGTAGAAAGACTTTATCTAGGGTTTAGACGAACGTCAAAAGCTTACAGTTACGCCACTGGTGTGATTGGGAAGGGGGGATTTTCAGCAGTGCAAGCAGGCAAATCGAAAGTTCTCCTGCTGCCGTGCTTGCTGCTAGGTTTTTAGTACAAAACGTGACCATGTAAAGCTGATGGCCTGCGCGTTCGATACCACTTGATTGAAAGCGAAAATAAAAACAATAATAAACAATTATGCGTGCATCTCTACACGTGGTTTATGTGCTATTGTGTATGGTTGTGATTTGTGTTGTTTAGGGCACATAACTGTATGGTCCTCAGCAGGAAATAAAATAGCAAAAAATAGTTTTTAAATAATTGGTGTGAGTTTTTTTTTTAATTTAAATTCTGTTAACCTCTTTTGTCAAATGACTTATCTTTTAAAGAAAATTTAATTTGATTTAAATGAATATTTTGTTGATTATGTCAAAATATATATTTTTCTAGCATTTCGTATATAATTTATTTATTTCACAAATTAAATAATTTTGTTTATATGTGGCAAATAGTGGTTTTTAATTTTATTAGTTAAGTTATTTTTTAATTTTATTTTAAACTAATTGAATCAAATCAGGATATATATTTACGCACAATATTGTTGTTGCCAAGCTCACTAATAATCTAAAATTTATTAATAAATTTGTTGATTAGGACGAATTGTTTATGCTATAAATCTATAAACAAACTGTTACAATTTTAGTTTATAATTTTTCTGTAATACACATAGGTATTATTTCTATAGTTATTTATTAAAGTTTTAGCGCCATCAGTAGATGATTAAAATTAAGTTTTTATAACAAAACTAAACGTTTATAAGCACTCGACTGGTATTTTTACTGAACATAACAATCACTTGCATAGAACCAAAAGCATATAAGAGCAGAAAACTGGATGAAGCAGGACCATTATTTCTGTCCATACTTGCTTTAAAACGATTCAGCTATTTCTATACTCTATTTAATATCTGTAATTTATAAAATGTTTGAATTGAGTGTCAATTGTTAATTATTTGCTGAATTTATTTTATATAATAGTGTTTTGGTATATTTTAGTAGATTTGTTAATTTTTTTTAAAAAATTCTGAGTATAGTTTCTAAAATAAAGCACTAAAAAAGCCAAATCTATATATATATTATACTTTTTTCCAAACATTAAAAAACAAAATTAACCCTAAATAATTTAAAAAAAAGGAAATTGTACAAGTACAAAACATGATAAAAAAATATAAACAGATAAAAACGAAAAATAAAAGGGACTTTCTTAATGCAATCTAATAAAAATAAATGTATTGTTCATGCATATGTAGAGGCATGGTAGAGGCAAAGAATATTATAGTTAGAATTATCTTTGGTAGAGGTTAATAAGGTATGGCAGGGTATGGCTATCGCTTGTTTGATATTTTTTATCTAGAACACAAATGTAACACAAATAAATATTACTTAGCTAACAAATTACTTAGGTAAAAAAATTAAAAACAAACTAAAAAATCATATACAGAAAGCTGACAGAAAGTTTAAGCTCGTTAGTTTTACCTCATTTTTTTTATTAGTAATTGTTGTCAGATAGTAATAATTGAATTGTTAGTATGAAGTTGTAATGTCATTTTAACAGAACGTCAACAAAAGACTCTCTGCTAAAAAGTTAAAGAGTTGTTGAACAATTGTATTTAGATATTTTAAATAACTTTTTATGCATTTTTTTTGTTTTTTTTTTGCTTCTGACGAGGAGAGGAAATAGGTACATATACCTCCTGAAACGTTATGCGTTTTTTGTCGGTTAGACAAATTTGTTTTACTAGTAAAATGCTACTCAAATGATAAGCTGGTTTCCATTTGGACTCAACGCGGTGGGGTCTACATAAGTATAGTATCACATCAAGAGTATCGCATGGTATATTTAATACTTCCTTCTATAATTATTTGTATTATTAGCACATACCCATGCGGTAGTGCCACATAAATATCTTCCAGCTTTTTAAATCCTTGTGGTATATATTCTCATAATTTTAACATAAACTATGTATAGTTGAATCTAAATATGCTGAAATCTATTACAGTAACTAGGCCACATACCAGCATTGTTATTTAAAACACTAGACCTATGTGTAAGGCTGTACGAGTAAATAGGTTTTTGAATTTTTGAATATATATATATATATATATATATATATATATATAGCAGTATATATATATATATATATATATATATATATATATATATATATATATATATATATATATATATATATATATATATATATATATATATATATATATATATATATTTACCTTACTACTTTCTGTACGAGTAAATAGGTTTAATATTTTTGAATATATATATATATATATATATATATATATATATATATATATATATATATATATATATATATATATATATATATATATATATATATATATATATATGTATGTACTTCAGATTTCTCTAATAAGCATGCCTTAAAGTTAAAATACAAAACAGCGCGTATCAGTCGGTATATATTGTTAATTTGTTTATTAATACTACCATACGATCGAAAAAAACGGCGTCAAAGACGGTTGGGAAATGACAATCGATGATAATTTTGGCGAGGTCAAGCCCTAGACGTCATTTACTTAGCCCGTACTTTTCTTTATTTTTTAGGCCGTAAGAATGATGTTGGTACATACGTAATTTATTTTTATATTGAGTAAAAATTATTTTTAAATGGTGTATGTTAAAATTCGAGAAAAAATATTTTTTGAAACTAGATTTATATGCCTGTTTATTTATCTCTATACAAAACTGATCCGTTTGTCCATTAGATAGTATCATTCAAAAATAAACCCTATATTGTCATAAAGATAAGTCCTAAGATCATTATTTGTGACACTATGATAACATTTTTGCGAACTATTTTTCTAGTATGCAATTATCATATACGCCTACTATATTTTATCGCTTGGTGTAACAAATAATATATTTTATAGGTTAGCTTCGAAAAAACATTTTTTCTCAAAAATTGTAGTGAATACTAGAAGGACCTTCATAATTGATAAATAAATAAATATGATATAACAGCGCTTTCCGATGGAGCGGAGCGTCCGCGACGGACCGTCCGACGTGTTTTTTCAAGATAGCCGTCGGACGAACTCCATCGGACGGAGCATACACGACCATGTGAAATTGTTCATAAACTCATAGTACTTGCTCGAAGGCGCGGGCGCTCCGCTCTATCTGAAAGCGCTGTAAAAAATTGCGTATTTGTTCAAAATTATTGTTTTAATTTATTGCAAATAATTTTCTGCCAACTTTAGGATAAAATTTTAATGGAAGCACTGTAATGCTGATTTAATATATGTACATATATTGAAAAATAAAAATGTTCAGACAAATATTTTTTCTTTCTTTCAAATGTCATTTCATTCAAGTGCTTAAAATACTATTATTTATTTAAATACGTGCAAGATTGGTAAGAGTCCACCAAGATCAAGACACTAAACCCTGCAATACCAAGACAAAAAGTCTTGATCTTGGTATTCTACTACTTGTATTTAACCTAAGTGTTGATTCCAACAAAACTTACATCACTTCAAGTTACAATTAACATCCAAACTGTTGTTACAGTTTAAACAAGATGCAGATCATGGAAAATGTAAGAGAAGGATGCACTAACAATCCTCCATCATCTCCCGGACATGCTGAACAGAGACAAGAGGCGGATTTGCTTGAAGAGAACGAGGATGAAACCCAAGTGAAAAAAGAAGATCCTGTAGAAAATGGCGTGGAACCGAAAGCGGACGAAGACGTCTCGGATTCCAACGATCTCGTGATTAAAGAAGAGATCAAGAAAATAGATGAAGATAGTGAGAAAATTGAAGAAAATAATGGGTGAGTATTTTCTTCTTCCCAAAATCTTCTTCTTTCTTTTTAATTCCCAATTCCTAATTTAATATTCCTATTTATTCTTTTTTATATATGTCACAGTAAAAACTAGAAATCAGTGAATGTTCACAAACAATTACTAGTAAAAGCTCACATTCACTGATTGACTAGATTAGATTTTTCGATGTGACTATCACCCTGTTCCACTACGATCTTTTGAAATCTCTTGTAGTCCTCTTCTGATCCTAGGGTTACATTCTCCAGTTCTATCTGTTTCAAAAAGTCTAACAACTTGGAGACTAAACCCTTCATATAGCTGTTTGTCAATAGCCTATCATTGCCCAGTACAAACAACCGCACAGTTGCCAGGTTGTCGCACCGACATAGAATGTGTTGTGTCGTTTCTTCTTCAGATTGGCATAACCTGCACAAGGCTTCGTCTGTCAATCCCATTACCTTTAGCTGCCTATTTAGCTCAAAATATCCCTTGTTAGTAGACTTACTACAGCTTTGACTGTCTTTCTGTCTTGCTTGGCCATTTCATGCCTTTTCGTTACTCTTGTAAACCTCGTACCCTGGTACCCAGGCTAACGTAACATTGCTCGCCCAATATATTTAGAGCATACACACAATCCAACACTAGTCTAAAAATGGTCTAAAATGGGTCCCTGTGGAACCGAGTTCCTTTAGCGCTACTTGGCAGTCTGTGAAGATGGCTACTATCGTTGATTGAAGAAGTAAGAAGATGCGCAGCCTTATGGGCGATTTTGTAGCACAAAACATATCCGAGATGCCGTTAGCGTTACCGTTACCGTTACATATTCGAGATTTAGTTTAGCTCTACGCCGCTGCGCGCTGCTGTCAGTCGACAGAGTGGGTGGTTGCAGGAGACAGTATTGCCAGAACTGCGGACTAATCCGGAGATTTGCGGATTTTGGCTACAGTACGTTAATAATTCGGATTTTCTATCATTAAAGAATTTTATATAATATTATATGTTTGAACAAAAAACAGCGTCAGATTTGGTTTGAAATCGCTGTTATTTCATTTGAAAAATATTATGGTAGATGTCAACAACCGTTAGATGTCAACAACAGTTCGTCATTTCCAAGCTTAACTAAATGACTTTTTTCGATCATACGAAATATTCAGTACCTATAAAATAATTGTTATTTTTGTTGTTTATTCTATGTTAAACTCGAATAAATTTTCAATACATAAACGCGGATTTTTCATCCAAAGATATTTTGATCAAACCTTACAAATATTACACATTTTAATATGGCAACACTGTCGCTTTCAGTTCGATATGCTTTTGCGTCTCTGCCTCTGCTTTCGCTAGCTGAATTAGAGAAAAGGAGTGTCTTGTACGTTGGCCGCAGAACGGATAGAGGCTCCACCGTACAGCACTTGAAGCATAAGGGGAAATCAAATCAGCCTTGTCACGAATTTGCCCATCAGGTTGCGTATCTTCCTAATTCTTTCAATCAATGCTACTATTTTGTTTTTTTGCTGCCATATAAATAGTTGCTCCTGTATCGATCTACCATTAATTTTTATAAACTATTCAGTAATTTTTTTCGTTTATAAAAAATATTAAAAGGTGTTTCTATTAAACGAATTTCTCGCTAATTCTAAATGCATCTACAAATAATATAAAATAATCAAAACCAGAAGACCATCGAAGAATCGAGAAAAATAATAATTTAATTGAAAATTAATCAATGTTCAAAGTATAGTTGTACACAGTAGCATTATCAGTTATTAAAATATTTTTCTATCTAACAAGGTTCTCTAAGTGCATCTACAAATAAAAAAAGGTATTCAAAACAATAAGACTTCGAAGGTTGCATATTGTTTGCGGCCTTGGCATATTTCCGAACACCACGACAGTTTTTTTTAATATTGTGTTTGTACATTTCATTATCGACGATATTGTTGAGGTGTTAATAAATGTTTTAATTTTCTGTTGGAAACCTTATAGTAGGGGAGCCCAAGCGGGTATTTTGATAATTACACAAGCAACATAACATAGACATAGCAAGAATAACATAAGGGGAGAAACATTGCACCCCCACCTTACATGAACCTTTTATACAAGGTCGTGCGTATAGGGTAGCCAATCAAAATAGTAAAAAAATGATCACTAGAAGATCTCGAGCGCCTCAGGTTAAGGTAAGGTGAGTTAAGTTATTACATGCAGAAAAGTGTGCATTTAGATAATTTGACGATTTAAGCGTGACATAAGAAAATGGAAAAGTCACAAATTTGGACGAAAAAAAAAATTACAACCCTCGAGAATATCCAGGTGAGGGTTTTTGGCATCTCACCTGGACATTCTCGAGACTGGTTATTTTTTTATTATTTTAAAGGATACATGGCAATCACAGGAATAACGTAATCTGCCGATTTTCACAAGCCGAAGTAGCTAAAATCATCAATAAAGGGTGGTGCTGAGAATTATATAATAATAATAATAATAAATCGTCTTTATTGTACTATAAAAAAAGATAGTTACAATTTGTGGGCGTAAATATATTTTTACTAAATCTGTCATAAATTTTGGTTGCGTCCAAATTCCAAATGGTCAGTTTTTTGAATAGGAGCTTCTTTAGGGTTTACTTACCATCGCTTTTGAATATCTGATGCGCTCGAGTATTTTTTTTCTTTTCTCATTTTCTGTCCCTTCGTATGGCCATTCCCACTACGCAAGCAGATTAATATCCCTTCGTGAACAAAAACACGTGTTTTATGTATAATGATTTTTAACCATCGTTGTATTTTTAGACAAGTCTGTTTAAGTAGATACAAACTATTTTAATGATTGATTATTTATTTTTTACAGGAATCATAGTCCAACAAACGAAAACCACAAGCGCAGTCTGGAAAGTGATGAGACTCCAATTAAAAGACTTAAGTTAGATATTCAGGAAAACTTCAATTCTCGAGAGAAAATAATCAACGAATTCATCGAAATTGCGGAATGCAACAATCTGGACCAGATACAATGTTTCAGCGAACAGATTTTGAGCGAGATCAGGACACTGAACGAAATGGCTAAAGAAAAAGTAGGTACTATTAAGTCTTAGTAATTCCAAGAGTGCTATCTAAGTAGAGAAGCCATTCACAGTTTATTTTTAAACTATCACAGCTGTGAATTTGTTTTATTTCGCTATTAAAATATCACTGGTAGTGATTTTCAGATTATAGTTGAGAGTTGGAATCTTTGGTGTTACAACAACAAAATAAAACACTAATTTACCAAAACACTTTACTTTTAACACTGGACGCGCGTTTCTCTAACTAAATTAGCATAATATTTAGGATTGGTGCATTTCAGTTGATTTCAACAAATTCCGACCGCAGCGCTTCAACGACAAAAATCAGAAATGATCAGTGCGTATCTCATGCCGCCGCCGCCGCGGCGCCGCCGTCATGTTGATCGCATTAAAATAATATTGAAATCGTGGTTTTGTCATAATATTTAAGTATTTTAGTTTTTTGCTAGTGCAGTTATTGAGACTATAAAACACTCAGGTACGAGGTTTGTGTGATGTAACGCTATTTCGGGTAGCAAAAATAAGTGAAAAAGAATTCGAACTAGGCGTCGTGTTGTGTTGTGACAATTTCAAATGTTATTAAAATTGCCGCAAAAATGTTACCGCGTAAAGGAGGTCGTAATTACGGCGTTGTTGGGTGCAATTACATTCAATAATATTCCCAGATATTCAACTCTTCCGAAATGTTATAGCTTCATATTTTCTCACACCGATTTAATCAAAAGCAAAAATGGATTCAAGCAGTTCGACGAAACAAGTGAGTAAACAAAGTGCTCGTTACATAATCAAAAAATATACTGTGCGAGGATAAAATATAATTTGCATTATTAATGGTATACTTTTTTTGATCGACTAGTGATTTTGAAATGTTTTATGAACATCTTCTAAAATTATAATTATGTACATTTAAATAAAAAATTTCGTTATAGCCGAAATAGGCCCAATTATGTCCTATTAGCAAAACCGGTGATTAATGCTCGCTACCTTAGTTGATTTCTTTATTTCATATTTTACTGTTGTCACACCATAGGTTCCAACGTCACTGTAATAATGGACACGTTGTATAAATACCTTTCTATTTAAAAAGTTTAATTAATTTTTAGAGCATTAGTAATAACAATAATTAATAATATATACTAAAATTTACTAGTAATATCATATAATATAAAAAAAGTATTTTCATAATTTTTAAAATTATGAGACGCACTTATTTATGTTAAATAATTTTAGGAATCCTCAGAAGTAAATCCTCTCTTCATTTTAATTTATTTTCAATGTTTATTATGCATTTTTTAACAATGAATTTTGATGTTTCAGGAACGGGAATGGAATCACATCATCCACATGAAAAAAATCAAAGAAGAGCTTCTGATTCGAATTCAACGAAAGAAACAAGTCATTCTCATAAACGACAGTGATCTCAGTGACTTTCAGCCAGAAATTAACGGTATGTCAAATAACATTTAGTAGTGCAATATAAAATTACACTACTTTGAATGTGGTAGACAATGATTCAGTATTGAAACTAAAAGAATTTCAGACCTTGTCCTTATTTATTTTTGGATTAACACAACGTTTCGTTAGTTTTTTTTAGATATTTCCGTACTAGGATTGCTAAAAATGATGTTTCGTGTTTGCAATAAAAACTGCCTCTTTAAATTTACGCTTTTTCCAATGAGGTTCCCTGTGAACAACCCGAACTTCTGACCACTTTATATTGTGCTGTTTTGACCAAACATGGTCCGCAATACCTGACTTCATTGTTTTACCTTTTTGTACATGTTTTTTTGTGCTCTGAGTCTTTGTGCGCTTTGTGAAATCGTACATTCAGAGGACGTTTAGTCTCTCCAATATACGACTCACCGCATTCACAATACCTGATAGATACACCCTTTCTCTTGTTTCAATGACTCCCGTCTTCTTTTTGTTAGGACACTTCTTAGAGTCGATCCAGATTTGAAGACAGTTTTAATTTTGTACTTTTTGGCTATTCGCCTGATCTTTTCTGACGTTCCTTTTCCATTTCATCATATCATAAATGTTTAATTTTCTTTAAAGTTTCATCAATCAAGTTTCATCAAAATCGCCATTTTCAGCTTATTCAATCATTTCCAGTTATAGTGTAGCCTCCCTTACATATTTAGATACTCTCTTTGTAGTTGGGTCCATCATTGTTGTCTATTGTTGGCTATACGGGCACAAGTTATCCCTGCTAATTTCCTAATATCATGGTCCCACCTCAGGTTTGGTCTTCCTCTAGGTCTCTTGAGTCTTCGTGGGTACCATGCTGTAATTTTTGTGGTCAATCTGTTGTCTGTCCTTCTTGCCAGGTGTCCTGCCCATTGCCATTTGAGGGATTTGATTCTGTGGATGACATCTATTACCTGGGTCTTTTGTCGTATCCACTCTCTTATTTTACTGTCTCTCTTGGTTATTCCCAGCATATTTTGTTCCATTAAGCGTTGTGCGATCTGCAGTTTCCTCTTAATGTCCGTTTTAAGTGTCCAGGTTTTGCATGCATAGGTTTCTTTAAAGTTTATACGCGCTTCCATCCATAGAATTATTACCAAAATAAAACACTAGTTCACCGCACAATACACTAAATTACTTTATTTTAACTCTAGACGTGCGTTTCGCCAACCACTGTTAGCATCATTAACAGATAGGTAAACTAAATTATGATTTAGAAATTCAGCATTACGATAGACATCCGATTGGTTTTCACATAGCGGGACAAAAACTAGCCAAACGAGACAAACCAATCAAGCGTAACAAAAAATTACCGATACTATAGAGCAATAGGAACAGAGAACTAGAAGGAATTTGACCATTATCTCTGTTTGGTTTGGTTTGGTTATTTTTTACATTTATTATTAAACTCTCATATGCATCTAATTGCCTATAATTTGTGAGGCGTGTTGAAACTATTAACATATACAATGATCTTTATCAACAATATTTTAAACATTACAAGATTTATTTGCTCTATCTCTATCATCTCTTTATTGATGCATAACAAATCATATTATAGCGTCTTTAATAACTTTGTTTTATTTATAATCTATGGTATTTCAGGTCAGTTAAGTCTGCTCAAGTGCAACCAAAAATCTAGTATTTTAAGAAACGCCAACATGGACAGATCCAAACAGAAGAATTTTATGCAAAACAAGGCTCAGATGGATATAAATACTTTGGATTTGAGACAAAAACAGAGGCCTACGTTGGATGTTCAGTCGATTATAGCTGACCATAGGTCAGTAATTTACTTCTATACCGATTGGGTCGACCCGTGGTCTGGATTATAACATGTAAGACAGTGATGGAGACAGCTCAATGAAAAATCGAATCTATTAAAAAGAGAAAAAAAAATGGTTGATACGTTTCGTCTTTGCGGTATTGCCGGATTTTGCATCAAAATTTCAAACAGCCGCAGCTGTACGAGAATGACAGGTGTTTGAATCTTGTACAAATTGTATTAGTTCTACGGCGTGTAACCCGCGACACTGAGTTTTATAGCGAAGCTTTACACCTTAAAATGCGATTACTAGCACTATTTCTGAACTAATCTGAACAAACCAATGAACATTTCTATGGTATTTGTAAAAAAATGACTGGAGATATTTTATTCCAAGTTTTGAGGCAACAGAATAATTGAGCATTGCTAAATAGCTTAAAGCTTAGATATATTATCCTCATTTTAATAGTATACATGAAAGTTTTTAAAATAGTTTACGAAGCGGCAACATTGTTTGTCGCTTTTTATTTTGTCTCTCTGTCTGTCAACTGGTCATATATATATATATATTTATCTCTGTCGTGTGCATTAAAATACAGACTACGGAAATAAAGTGACCAATATGGTATAGTCATAATATATTTAGCCTAAGAATTTAATTATTCGGTTTTCTTACTTTGTTGTATTACTTTGCTTATAGAGAGGTCGTTATTTTTTTAGGCAAAGACATCCTGAAGTGATTCCGAGAAGAGGTAGGAGAATTAGACATTCGCAAAGTGACGGTAAAGGCAGTGGTATTTTGGGATTTTCAGGTGGCAGTTTCAGTGTAGGACAAAAATCAGAGCAGGACTCCAATTCAGAGCTGGGATTTCTATTAAGCCACATGAACGGGGTAAGTTTAAAGTGACCAGACGTCCGTCCTTATGACAGACAATTCGTTATATCCATCCAAAATGACATTAGTGTGCAATATTTAAAGACAATAAATTTTATATTTCATTTTACAGAATCTTGAAAATTCGAGATCATCAAATTTAGAATCTTACGTCCAGGACAACACATCTTACAAGGACATACTACTCCAATTTGCCAAGCTGTCGCAAAAAGAAAGAAACGAATTGCAGATGCATTTACAAAATAATACCAAACCTCCTCCACCATACCCCGAAGTAACAGTTCATCCTGTCACAAGTACGAGCTCAGTTACACCTACAAATTCCTTGCTGCACGGTATATTAACTAAGGTAGGTAAACATATTTTAGAGAAATACCGTATGATCGAGAAAAAACGGCGTCAGCGATGGCTATGGAATGAAGATCGCTGTCATTTTATATGTAAATTTATATGGGAAATATCATCGATGTTCATTTCCCCCAACAACCCGGACGCCGTTTTTTTTCGATCATACGGTATAAAATAGTGTTTAGACTCCCAAAAAAATTTTTAAAACTGGTTAGAGATAACCATCCATATATATGTTATCATAATGTTGTTTATCATATTATGTTATCAAATATTCTTAAAACGAAACATTTAGATACTACTAAATTATTAGAATCATTTAATCAATGAGAATAAATAGCTTCGTTCCAACACACAAATCTCTACTCCTCTAGAACGGTAATAAGGAACTTGTCCAAAAAATAAAATCATTTAAAAAGAAAAATTCCAATAACAATTAAATTACCTGAGAAATAAAGGTTTAAAATTTGAATAATTTTACTTGCTCTTAAAACGCTCCGCCATTGGTTGTGACGTCAGACCGTTGTAGCTTGATCCGGTAACCGTAAAACAACACGTAAAATAATAATCAATATTCGAGCATTGAACGTGGTGTTTGCTTCTTTTAGGAGAAAGTTTTGTTTAATTTTGCTTGATTTGGTGGTTTGTAATTATATTAAAAACTGAAAATGGTTGATACGGGTTTTATAAAGGGACAATCAGACAATTTACCTAGAGTTGATATGTTTATGACTATCATTCAACATTTGGAGGATTTTTGTTCAACCAAAAAGTCACTGTCACTATCATCTTCATTGAAACGATTTTCACTACTTCTTACACTAAAGGGACTGTCATAAATATTTTTTAGAAGATTGGTTTCTTGTTTTTTCGTGATATCTTTATTATAAATTTTAATTGGAGACAAGCTAACGTTAGCTCCCAAATTTATTTTGCACTGCACTGCTTTGTTTCTAAACATTACACGTCGGTGGGCTTGCACGGAAACATCCCTTTTTAACGGAATACTTGTTTGTGGCAAAATAGCATCAACACTTTCCAGGTCCATGTCCTATCATGTGTTATTGGTTGGGGGTCGCTTTGAGGACTGACACTTGTTTGTAATATTCCTGGTATAGTTGTGGTAGAACAGGAAGCTTCGTTAACAAGTCTTCTCTTTCCCCTCTTAACAGCTGCTCATCTTGGAGGAACTGAAAATGCTCTTTTTCTGTCTGGCTGGCAATCAAAAATGTGAGGAACTACATGAGATTTCATTATTCTTTTACCACCCATCAGTTTAACTTTACATAATTATCCATATCTTTGGCAATCTGAAACAAAAACATAACCTACAAACATAATCAAATATTTATTAAAATTATGGGTAGCTAAGTAATATTTTTACTAGATAGGTAGGTACCTATAGTACCTATATTTAAATAAAATTAGTGGATATTTTTTATATTGAAGTACGTATATAGGTAATAGAAGATTACAACTTTACTGGTAATGTAACAAGTTTACCTAACCCTAATATTTATATTTTAGGCATTTATACGTACATTGAAATGATCTTCACAAGCGTGAATGTTTGTGCTCTTCGTAGAATAATCCCCTACGTATATTCTACATGCTTTTAGCCATTTTATTCGTCGCTTTTTATCTTCAGGTACGCGAGTGAAAATGTTATCTGCATTTTTCACAGTTGAACTCGTACAGAACGGAACAATACAGTATTTATACCCAGTATTTCGAGTATTTTCCATAGTAAATAAAAAAAAAGAACAATAAACACTGAGGCTAACGATGCAAATTCGGCGAAAAATCAAGAGGAATAATGCTTGAAATGGCTGTTGTTCTCGTATGGTACGTATACATTGGTGCGCTGCGCCGCGAACGCGCAGCGCGCGCAGATCTTTGGCCGTGCGTTACTTTTATTGTTTTAACGAACATCCCGCGAACATTCGTTTCTTCGTTAATCATGTCTCTATCGTCCGAGAAGAACTACGCAATTTTAGTGATGAGTAGTGCGACTCTTTAAACACTCCATTAATAAACAATATTCAAAGAAAAACACAAAAAAGGGAATTTATTCAAAGAAAATACACATAGTCACTGATAAATGCGCGTGGTGTCTTTACCGGCCGTCCCAATTGAACAACAAACATAGAAAACGGAGCGTCGAAAAACCGACTGGAGATAGTTCGCCGCTAGCTGTTTGCGCGCAGAGCACGCGCACGTTGAAAACACGTACCAATAGAGGCGAATCGGTGCGCGCGCGCCGCTCGTTCTCGGCGCGCCAATGTATACGTACCATAACGTGCCGGATAGTTTACTGCGGTATGACGGCACAGCGGCTGCCGCGCTTTTTGCTTTGTTTGAATGTGACAGGTGGTGATTCCAACTTTAAAATTATTTATTGTGAAATAAGTATTGCGATTTAAGGGCTGATATTTGGTATAATGTGTTTTTATACATAAACACACACATTTTAGTAAAATAAAAAAAATGGGCATGTTCCCTATTGGGATTGCCGGGATCGGATTTGTACGCATGTGTCGACTTGGACAGTTCTATTAAGATACTAATATTAAATGCGGGTTTCAAAGGTTTATGAATTGATTTTAGAATCCCGTGGTTAGAATCAAATTCATAACCTAATTCCCTTAAACTGATTCTCCCGTGGTTGGAACGCATCTTGTCCATTGCACTACATTTTATTATATATCCATATATTATGTTCCTTCACTTTATTCCAGACTACATCGAAACCGACGGGCAACAGCGGCAACCCTCCAAATCCAAACAGCAAAAGCACCTTTAGCCCAACATTAGCTAGGTTGCTGACTGCTCCAGAGAGAGGAGCCGCCAATCAGTTGACTTCAACACCTTTGATATCAGGGAACTTGCTGAATCCCAGTACGAACATGTCGATATCGGAAATATTCTCCGGTAGTAAGGTAACGTACTCTGATATAAGAAAATACCATACGATCGAAAAAAAACGGCGTCAGCGGTGTCTATGAAATGAAGGTCTAACTGCCATTTTATATGTAAAATTATATGGAGAATACCTATCATCTATTGTCATTTTTATGCCAAGTGGGCGCCATTTTTTTTTTTTCGATCGCTACATAAATAAATAAAATAATAAAATTGGTTAGGTTAGATGTCCAATACTATCGATATTTTGAAGTATCGATATTTTTTTACATTTACAAACTAATCGAAATATTGTCAGCATTGTTTTAAATGTTTATTAATCGATACTTAATTGTTAACCCCAAATTACAAGATTATAGACTGTATTTAAAAAAATAAAGTTGATGATGGTATCTCGGAAACAAAACGTCAGATTTGTAATTTAATAGTACCATCTTATAAAAAGATAGCCCGGCCGTGGCTCCAGCTGAAGTGTTCTCTAGCTCCAGCACGGCTCGACTGTACGGTAGCATTATTTGTTTGAATAAAAATATTTATCTAAATAGAGCGACCAGCGAGCCGCCACCTCAAGGAAGGCAATGGAAAACCACCTTGAGTATATTTGCCTACTAAGACCTCTCAAATAGTGGCGTTGGGATTCGGCGATAAACTGTATAGGTCCCGTATACTTGTGTAACACTGATGACATACATCACAAGTGCATGCGAGAGGTCGCCAACACTCTGTATAGAGCATGGCACGGAGAGAAGATAACAAAATAAAAGTGACAATTCTGAAATTGCATTTATTCTCAAATAGGATCAGGCAAAATTAAACACGACTTTACAATAGTTTGTTTTTTTCCAGAAGAATTCGGATATCGATCTCTCCTCTATCTCCTTCTATCTCCTTGGTTTCTCATGGTTTCCCATTCCTTATTTTTAAAATCACCTGGATATTTTCGAAATTTTTATATCGATATGTTTTTATAAAATGAGCATTCCTAATGGTAGTAAAAAATTTAAATTTAAAAATGTTTTAGGCTCGAAATGAAATTACCATAACCCCTGTTGGCAGTAGTCAGTACGATTCAGGATCAAAAGGAGATTCGGTAGGTTTTAGTACTATATGATCGAGAAAAAAAACGGCGTCAAAGACGGCTGGGGTCATCATGGGGACGGATTGTCATTAATCGATGACAATTTTGGAGAGGTCAAGCCCTAGACATCGTTTCTTACGGCCAGTTAGCCTTAAAAAGGTTGTAGTTTTTATTTTTATATTGAATAATAATGATGTTTAAATAGTGTAGTTTAAAATTCAAGAAAAGATATTTTTTTTTGAAATAGATTTGTGTATCTTACAACGTTCTATCCTTTTTTAATCTTATATATTTATATAATAGATAATTAGTGTTAATTTTTGACAAGTTTTGTTTCGATTTTTAGTAAAGACGTCTAGAGATTGGCGTCGCCAAAATTATCACCGATTGTTATTCCCCAGCCGTCTTTGGCGCCGTTTCTTTTCCCATACTAAAAATATCACTAAAACACATAATATAAGAATCATGACTCGAAAAAAAAATCTTTAAAATCTCAGAGATATAAGTAAATCTAGAGAAATTCTAAAATATTTGTTGATAAAACCGTTACTATAAAAAATACAAAGAATACAACACTTGGATGCGCTAGTTCTCCGTTCTTATTTTATTTATCTTTTCTAGCTAGATGACGAGGGTGAAGAACATCCCGACCGACTGATAATCGACGAAACGTCTGAGAACTTAAGTTCTAGAGTTAAAGACGACAACAGCTCAGAAAATGGAGATGACATTCCGCAGTGTCAGGGGTGCAATCAAAAACCAGCGCAGTTCGTTTGCGCAGGCTGCGGTAACCAGTGGTACTGTAGTAGGGACTGTCAAGTAAGTCGACTTACCTATCAGTTTGTTTTTCCCACAAAACCACAGCTTATTCATTACGCAGCTGCCCCAGAATACAAAAAGACTGAGCAATGAGTTCTAGACAGCTAGAAATGGTATTTTATATTCTTACTTTAAAGATAAAAAAAGGAAATTTTGAAATTTATTTTTTCAGATTTCAGCTTGTTTACAAGCTCTCGTTCTTATCAAGTTTAGGATATGTCGATGGGATATTAGAGGTGGGAATTCTAGTTCCTTGGGAGGAACTAGTTTCTTAGTTCTAGTTCCTCCAGAGGAATAGTTCCTTGAACTAGGTCTTTAGTTCACAATAGTTCCCGACTAACATTGACATCCCCCTTGCTTGCTAATGCGTTTCGTTGTCAGTCAGAACTATTCACCGTATGATCTGTATAATATTTATAGTGTACGGAGATATAACGAGACGTGTAATTGTGTATGTTAAAAACATATAGGTCTGTAAGTTTTATTGCAGATAAAAAATAAAAAACTCAAATCAGAATTTAAAAAACTATATCATAAATCAATTGCAATAAAGCAGCAAAGTATTGACTCTGCCTTACTTTATATTTTAACACGCTTATACACGGTGAGTCTTAAATAATTGCAAATATTTTTAGGGGTAGTATATTTCGACCCCAGAAATACGAATACAAGTTTTTTCGCGAAAAAAAAATATTGAAAATTTGGAATTTTTGGAAAAAAAATTTGGAATTTTTTTTAGTTTTTGGTTGAAAAACATAATTTCTTAATAATATGGCAACATACATAGTAGATTAAATTTACAAGAGAGAAAACCCACAAAAGATCCAGTGGTTCTCAAAAAAATGTTTTTTTGGAAATTTTCAAAATATAATAACTCGGTTATTTTGGACTTATTTCAAAAACGGTAAAGAGAAAATATGGTTCTTTTATCGAGATCTACCAGCCCTGAAAATATTTGCACTTATTTAAGACTCACCCTGTATTAGAACGCCACTGATCAGCCGAAAGTTAAGTCAGCCATATTGAATACTTCATACTCCTTAGTTCAATGACTAAAGAATACAAGGACAAATAGCAACCGAGACCAAACTGTGACCATTCTTCCAAACAGTGCCGTGGCACATATTTTTCTTAACATAGCCGCTTGAAGCGATATTTATATTTTTGGTAAATATTTTCACTACGCCTTTGGTGTGTCCTGTCGTATCATACTTATTAATTACGAAAAAAACGTATTCAAATGTTAACAAAAGGTACAAAACTAGTATCGACGTATAGCACATATCAAGTACATATAATATCAGAAAAATAATTATCGAATTCAATAAAAAAACGCTAACAGGTGTAGTGGACTGTTTATTTCCTTATAAAACGTAACTCCTGGCTCTTTCTTATCATTGTGCCTTTTACACTTGAAAGCTGAACAAATTACCATTGTAATAAAGTTTATACAAAGTTCACTACACACAACCAACTATTAAAAATCGCTAAAATTGTCGCTGATGACCAGCTGATGATTCATTCGTTATGTCCAAAAAAATGGCGTCTAAGGTCACAAATTCTGCTGCAGCCCGTATATGGCCGTTACATGTCCTTGTATTCTTTAGTCATTGCCTTAGTTTTTTTGTTAAAGTAACCAACCACAATAAAACATAGCAAGCTGTATTGAATAAACTGTAGTTTTGCCAGTAAATAACTTTCTATATTAATTGATTTTATTTAAGTTCTTATGTTTTTTAATAAATAGTTTGCACATTTATTACTATTTATTTTGCAGGTTGCTGCTTGGGACGAACATTCAGAAGTATGTTCGGGATAAAGATAAATTAAAGTTTAAAAAACTACTCCTAGAAATTTATTTATTTTAATTTAAGCTATAGATATAAGGAAAATTGGCCAGATTAGTTTAATAACGTCAAATAAATTTGAATAACGTCATAAGGTATACGACTAACATTACAGGAGTCCTAATGATTCCGCTCCTTTAATTTCAACCTTATGCATTATGCGCATAAGGTGGAAAATGAAATTACACCAATCTAGTATTTTGTTTTTAAGTATTTAGACAGTTTTGTTCTACTCTTATTCTATTCTATTAATTAAAATTAAATTTCTTTTATTTGATCATTTAGTAGAAGAAATATTTCATAAATATTTCGACTAAGAGCAAAATAAACAAATAACTTGTTTGAGACAGCATAATATAGTCTTTAAACAAAGTATATATGTCACGGCTAAAATGGATACTTGGCTAGTTTTCAAACTAGCCAGCTATTTTAGAAACAAACAGCACAACCAACACCACGAACTGACACCTAACTTAACTCGGCGTATTGTTAGTTGCATATACCATGACGTCACTCTAATTAACATAATTGAAACAAAATGAGCTCATTAAATAAGAAATATCTGATATAATTTAAGTTAAAATAGAATCTTTTTTATAAACGTCAAAAATTAAACAGAAAATACATTCCCTCCCCCAAATAATATTGTTTAAAACTGTCACTTGTCATTTAAATAGATATACAGTGTGGTCAGTCTACTTATAAACCTCTCCCACCCTGTATATGAAAAATATTGCCAATATAGCTTCATAGAATAAATCAAATTAAAGCTTGCCAAAGAATCCCAAAGAATTTAAACGGACTAGAATCTGATATCGATTCATTTTAACTAAACTTTGACTGTAAACATTGACTTAAAAATTCATTTGACCATCATTTTGTAGTTGTGTAGTATCACCCTGCATTCTCTCGGTCTATTGTTTTGTACAGGTGGTCCCAAATACGAAGGACAAACCAGTAATATATGAACTAACCATAAAACACTTTTTTCTTACATGGTAGATATCTATCACCTGTTAAATGTTTTATCTCAAAAAATGAGACAGTCTGTAAATTACATTAGACCATAAACTAATCAAAAGAATCATTAATAATCAAAGATTTTCATAGCATTGAAAATTTTTATCTATTTTTAGAAAAATTACTTTTCTTGGTAAATATGCCATTCGGTTTGCCATAGAAATCGTTACCAACAATATGATTGTTCATTTTGATATTAACTTTTTTACTTATTTAATACCAACTAAGGTGATTTTTAGCTATAAGTTTTTTTTTATTTGTATATACCTATTTGTTAATTTATTTATTATAGATAGAATCGTATTAAGGATCTAACTCTTAATTAAGAATGATAATTATTCATATCTTGTTCCATTTATTTAAATATACAATTGCCCAAATAGTATTCGGGAAATTTCGGCAGCTTATTTTGAACATAAGTAAAAAAGTTCGTATAAACTTATGTCCGAAAATTCTTCGTTTAAGAGATACATGGTGTAGAATTTTAATTTTTGTTTCAATTTTTTCCACATAATTTCTGAACTAAACTCAATATTTTGATGAAAATTAGTGTCTGTGTGTTTTTTGATATGGTAAATTCAATTTCGATGCCAATATGGCTCCACCTACATGTTTTTAATTGTTTTGAAGAGTAATAACTTTTCGTCCGTACCTGTATTACACTATTGGGTTAGGTTAAGAAAAAAAACGTATTTCCGCTGTGCTTTACGTAAAAATGGTCTCTTAATAAAAAGCGCTACGAGTAATGGTTCTCAAGATATTTGGAATGGAAATTATCAATACATGTCATCATTAACAAAAAATAAGCATGTTGTCTGGAAAGTTATTTGACTTGTATGATAAATTTGGTAATTTTTTTTCAACAGTTTCTGTTGAACCTTTGGTACAATTTCCAAATTTACTATTTCAGTTTAATAACTATCCAGTCAACAGGTTTAATTTTTGTTGGTGATGACATGTATTGATTATTTCAATTCCAAATATCTGGAGGACAATTGCTCGAACAGTAGCCATTTTTACCAACAGACTTTTTTACGTATAAATGGCGAACATATTTATTTTCTCTCTCAGTAATGTAATGCAAGTACGAACAAAAATGTATTACTCTTTAATGGCCGTTTTCCCAGCACTTATTAAGGTAACTTTACGTTAAGTGCCGCTTTGAATGTGACTTTTTAAATTCGCTTTTCATATTCAAAGCTCCACTTAACTTAAAGTAACCTTAATAAGTGCTGGGAAAACGGCCATAAACAGTTATAAAAACTTGTATGTGGCGCCCCCTACAAGTAGGAGTTAAACTAACATTGGCATTGAATTTCTCATGCCAAGGAATATCCATATATCAATTTTCATCCAAATATCAACATCAGTTCAGAAATTATTTCAAAAACAACTAAATAAAAATTGAATTTCTACACCCTGTATCTCCGAAAGGGGGCATTTTATGACATGAATTTATATAAACTTTTTTTCTCATTTTTATCTGCAGAATATGTTATTCCCGATTACAATTCGGACCACCCTGTAGTTTGTATTAATTTCTACCCTAGATCATATACAAGGTGGTTCAAGGTAGATGATAGAAAGATGATGATAGAGTAGAGATTCATTTCTACCCTAGATCATATACAAGGTTATTACAAGGTAGATGATACTACAAAGTGGACCACCCTGTATACTATCTTATACGAGTATAATCTAGGATATGTATATAGCCTATCCATCAAAAGAATATAGGACTACGCACTACACTTATTGAAGATATAATTCTGAAAAAATGAAACGATCTAAATATGACATAGATAATTGTCACTAATGTCATATATTCTATCGCTGGACATACTATAGCTGTCATTTCTGATTAAGACATGACATAATATTTCTATCTTAATCACAAATGACAGTTGATATCCCCTAGTCAGTATTTAGTGTTAATAATGTTAATATAGAAGCAAGTGATATTTTTGTAATGGTAGCTGGAGGATTTCAAATATAGAATAATCAAAAATAAATCAAATATCACTTGATTCTAGGCCAGAAGAGATTTTTCAAAATGAATTCAAAATCTAGATCTCTTCAACTGATTTTAATATTTTTTGAGTAGATTTTTTGAGTAGTTTTTGTGCAAGTGCCATCAGTGTATATAGATCGTAAGTAGATGATAAGTTTACGCAATAGAGACTATAGTTTTTTGTAAGATACAATTCTGTGATATCCATAAATGGATCAAACATATTTAAAAATCTACGCGAATATCTTTTGTATTTCAATATATGTTGTTTTATTTTTCATCCCTATTTATAGATTCATATATGATGGATAAGCGACGAATCTAATATGAATTAAAGCTTGAATTTTAATAATCTGCTGATAATAACCTATTATAGTTAGCAAGACTTGTGTTTGCCAACTTGTGTTTAAAACAAAGCGTCATTTATTATTGAAAAAATATCGATATTTTGATGCCATGTCGATTTTTTGGCACGTCCATAGACTGACATGAAGATATTAATTTTTAACTGTCATAATATAATCAAGGCCTATGATCAAGGCAATCTATCATCGTAAATTTAGGATTTCCTTTTCCTTATTAATAAATAAACCCAAATAAACTTTAAAAAACGATTTGAACCGCGAAAAAGATTTTCAAAAAATAAAGATTCTATTTTGAGAAAATCGAAATAAACAAATCATGTATCCTGATGTATCCCTTTGCTTTTCTCCTAATAAAATGAAAAACAACCTGGGAAAAGATTTAAAAAAAACAAACAAAAATAGATTCACCGCGATTATAAATAATCCATCACAGTGTGACCTGTGAGTGTGACAAACAGTCTAACCTCACTTCATGGCAGTATTCGTATCTTTGCGTTATCGCTTTATATTAAGTACAAAAACATATTTTTCATCCTCATTTATTAATTTTAAGTCAAATATTATTAGGAATTCGCATTTAAGAAGTATGTCTGTCCAAGTATCCGATAGCAGTTTAATAGAAAAAGCCAAAACCCTAGCACCACTATTCAGTTCAGGAAAACACAAAGGTCAGGTAATAATTATAATAAAAACACCCAGAAACATTTTATTTATATTGCAATATACATTTCTTAGGCTGGAAGGATTGGAGTCTTTGGTGGAAGCATAGAGTTTACAGGAGCCCCATATTTTTCCTCAATTACAGCTTTAAAAGTCGGTGCTGATTTAAGTTATGTGTTCACAATTAAAGATGCTGCTGTAGTTATCAAATCTTATAGTCCTGAGTTGATGGTTTTACCATTTTTAGATGACCCTGATGCTATAAATAAAATTAAACCATGGTTAGATAGGCTTCATGTTGCACTTTTAGGTAAATTTCTGTTTTTTTTTTAATACTTATTAACTGAAATATTAATGTAGGGCCAGGTATGGGTCGTGCTGACAGTACAAAACAAACTTTTGAGGCAATTATATGTTTATGTCGGTCGAAAAACAAGCCACTTATTATTGATGCCGATGGTCTGTTTTTTGTTGCCCAAAATCCAGATATCTTAAAAGATTATCCAGCTCCAGTGATTTTAACTCCTAACAAAGCAGAATTTGCTAGAATTGTGGGCGATTCTAATCTGGAAGGACCTAAAGTTGAGAGAGCCAAACCGTTTTTAGAGAAAACTGGTCCTAGCGTGACTATTTTCTGTAAAGATGCCGAAGATGAAATAATAACCTTAGGAAATACAATTAAAGTATTAAATAATTAAAAAAAGGATTGTTTAAGTGAAAACAAATACTTTTTTAGTTGACAGGTGGTGGATCTGGTCGCAGATGTGGAGGCCAGGGTGATATGTTAGGGGGAGCAATGTCCACATTCCTTACATGGGCTCTAGAGAAAAATTTGCCTCCTGCCGTAGCTTGCTTTGCCGCTAGCAAACTGACGAGAGACTGCAATGCTCAGGGATTTGTTAAACACGGTCGTAGTCTTGTGGTCACTGATATGATCCAAGAAATTCACAGTGTATTTCAAGAGAATTTTGAACTGAAATAACAAGAAAAGATTTTTATACAAATAAGCTTTACATGGTTGATGTGTGGTTATGTATATATTTTAGTAATTATAATATAAACATTTAACATAAATTTATTGATTATATGTATAGTCACTTATATCCTTTTGCTTTTATTTTCTTATCCTAACTTTATTCGTTATTCTTAATTTCAAATATTTAATAAGGTTTCTTAAACCTCTTGAAACCCATTATTTTGCATGTTTTCTATAGTTTTTTTTCATATGTACCGTATGATCGAAAAAAAAACGGCGTCCAGTTGGCTGGGAAATGACGATCAATGACATTTCCGATATAAAATGACAGCGATCTTCATTTCATAGCCATCGTTGACGCCGTTTTTTCTCGATCATACGGTATTCCAATTACATCCTCATAAAAAGCTGATATATTTTGCCTAGTTTCAAAATTTTATAATTTTCTTTTTCAAATCAAGTGTATGAGAATATAAATACTTCGCTTGATATTCCTATTGTATATTAAATGTATAAACTATAATTCCCCATATTTAGAGATATTCGGTATTTTTTGAACTACTCCTTTCATTCTGAACAATTACATAATACTTTCAGATAAAAAAAAACGTTCTCACATTTTTCATATGTACGCCATCGTCATATTTTAGTTAACAAATTTGTATTACTTTAATTACGGTTTTATTTTTAGGGGTGTTTTTAATAATGCACACCAAGCATGTAAAGACTACCTAAAAGAAGAGATCTGGGTCATTTCCAGAATCCAGAACTGCAAGCTCATAGAAAACTTAAGTCTTTTTTTTTATTTAAATCATTCTCATATCATTCTAATGACTTAAGTCATTTTTGGTTTTAAGTCATTAAAGCCGACAAGTCTTATTCATAATGATTTGATTTGTAATTTAAATCTTTATACCGAAATAAAAAAAGATTTAGGTCTTTTTAGAAAAAGAATTAAGTCATTAAGAAGATTTCAGTCCTTTTAAAAAAGTTTATGTCTTTTATATATTAATAAATTAATAATTAAATATAATAAATGTAAGGAGAAATGAGGTAATATCCTGTTTTATTTTATTTATACTGATTTAGTAACTCTTTAGATTTGGCTTATTAACGTTAAACATCCATAATTAGTAAGTTTGGCATTTTATGCTACTATGCATGTATACAGTGAAGAATTAACAAGAAAATCGTACATTTACTTAGGGTGTATTCGTGTATTCCGTTGTTTACCTTGGTTATGGTTTTATGTTCCGTTTCTATCGGTTTCCTGAAAGTTTTCCTACTACCGAACACGGTTCCTGAAAAATTTGGTTATAACTGTCACCGAACTAACCAACACGAGAAGGCTGGTTTTTCTGGTTTTGTTTGTTAATCAATGTCATTTATGTGACCGAAATCAAGCAAATATTGGAAGTTCAAGTGAAATTCTCATTTAATTTCTGAAATTTGTTATAATATTTTGTATTTACATCCAAAAGCAATGGAGGTAGGCAGTAAAGGTAAATAAATTTCGTTAACTAAATAGAATGACTTTTTATGATCATTTAAACTTATCATGCAGTTATTATTGTTTCTTAAAGTTAGAAACATTTAAAGAAAACATGAAAAACAAGACAACAAGTAATCGTGAATGTTTTGTAAGCTATAAAAATATATATATTTATTAGATTTGTTTATTTATTATTGATCTGTTTTAATATTGGACCTGCAAATCTTCACTTGAGCTGTCTAAAAGGCCTGGTTTTTCTGACCAGATCGGCCCGAAATATTTCGGTGAATATTTCCGTACAGAACGCTCTAATTTACCGAACTCAGTTCGTTCCGAAGTTTCGTCTGCGTGTGGTTTGTCGGAGATTAAATTCGTTATGATTAGGTATTTCAGTTCGGTCTATTCAATCATTAAAATTTTGCGTTGTACGTACCTAGGTTCTTTTTACGCTTCTAAATGGATTTTTTTATCGCTATGATTTTAGAAGAAGAACAGGATGATGATGATGAGTACTATGCGTTATTAGAAGTATGTTCTGAACATAATAGAGTTCTGAAAATGTTTGAGAATAGGGACAAAGAAGGTGCTTACAAACTGTTAGTGTTAAAGCATCTTTCGGATAATGATACAAAGTTCAAAGAATTTTTCCGATTAACTCCACAACTATTCCATACTGGTACTAAATTACATAAAGAATGAAATAAATTACATAAAGAAAAAATAAACAGCCCAACTTTTTTAGAAACACCGTGAATAATTTTATTATTCAAATGCGTGACAAGAAAAGAAAATCGACGGGTCTAAATATGTTTTCGAGAAATAAACACTCGAATTTTAATTAATTTATTGATTCACTTTACACACATACTGTAAATAGTAATTTTATAAAAATAAATCCGCCGAAATTCACAATTTTTTTTCACAACCTTAACCTAACCTAACAAGTTCGGCGAACTACGCCGATTTGAGATCGTTCAAATCAAAACTAGTTTGATACAGACGAACTGCTGTCCGCATACGTTCCCGAAATATCGTTCCGAAATTTCGTTCCGATCTAGACAAACAACTACTGCGTCCTACATATATACTGGGTTTGGCCGGAAACGCTAACGAACTTTTCGTGCTATATCACCGAAATATTTCGGGCCGATCTGTTCAGAAAAACCAGGCCTTAACGAGTTTAACAGTTTATTAATAAAGTACTTTTCAATATTAAACTCCATTGAAAAGAAGAAGCAAACGTAAAAGCAGAGAATAGGTACATTAAAAATGCATAAAAGATAAATTTTATAATAAAGGTATTGAAATTTAGAAAACGTCAACATTTGACATTTCCAGTATTTTACCAAACCGTTCCGTATCAAACCGATGTCTTTTCAGGAACCGCTCTTTACCGTAGTTTACCGGTCTGGTTCGCCTGGTTTTGCAACGGAATACAGCCCTATGATACAGCCTTAATAATAAAGCGTGCCGTCTATTCATTTTTTTTCCTTTGGCGCGTTTAATTGATTACAGCGCCATTCTTGTTTACTGCGAATTTTTGGAACTATCGTTTAAACGATTATAACGCCCTCATACGGAAAGTTCTAAAAGTAAGAAAATACAGGTTTCTGCTTTTTTCCAATGTGATAGTGGCACCATCTCCGATTAAATATTTAAACTAGTTAGTAATAGATTTCTAGAAAAAAATACTTCCTAGTGTTATCCATTGATTTAGTAAGAATGTTTATAATGTCTTTGGTGTTAATCAATGACTAAAGAATCCAAGGACAAATAACACCCGACAGCAAATTGTGACGCTGGCATCAAACAGTGCCGTGGCACATATTTTTCTTAACCTAGCTGTTTGAAGCAATATTTATATTTTTTGATAATTGTTTTGACTACGCCTATGGTGTATCATCCTAATTAATTACGAAAAAAACGTATTAAAATGTTAACAAAAGGTACAAAACTAGTATCGACGTATAGCACATATCAAGTACATATAGATGTTAATTGAAATTGAAGAATAAATATCGAATTCAATAAGAAAACGCTAAAAGGTTGGAGTGTACTGTTATTTACCTGTGAAACGTAACTCCTGGCTCTTTCTTGTCGCTGTGGCTTTTACACTTGAAAGCTACACAATTCACCATTGTAACAAAGTTTATACAAAGTTCACTACACACAACAAACTATTAAAAATCGCTAAAATTGTCGCTGGTGACTGGATGATGACTCACTGTTTGGCATCAAACGAATGGCGTCTAACGTCACAAATTCTACTACAGCCCGTACAGGGGCGTTACATGTCCTTATATTCTTTAGTCATTGGTGTTAATTCATATCAGAGATACAAGGGTGTTATCTAAGAAACGACGATTATTCTGATTATTCTCTTGCCATGAAAGAAGAGCACAACCAATGCACAACAGAGTTTTCAAACCGTCCATCTACTGGCATCATTGAACGTTCAGAAAAACTTTGGTCGGAAACGGTGTCTTGTTTATATTTTAAATATGATAAACCACAGATTCATTCCTTTTAAACATCATATTTTGAATAGTTCAAATGTATTACTAGATAACTTCACATGATGTAATTAAATGTCAAACATGAGAAATGTCAAATGTCAGGCAAAAAAATAAAGTGAAATTTTTATTTAAAAATTTGTTTTTTAAATAAAAACTTCATTAAAATTAACTCAGTTGTTTACTACCTTTCTTGTAATGTTTTTCTAATAGTTTTTAGCTTAAATAACACATTTCCTATAATAAAATAAGAAAAAAAGTGAATATAATAAAGTTACAACAGTAAATTAATGACGTGTAAGAGAGAAATTGGGTTATGTTTATTAAAAACCACAAAATATTGAGAATCCCTGAATTGTTGTCTTAAAAAGACTGCAAAATGTTTGAAATATCAGATACACAAAGTTAGAAATGTCTAAGCAGCAAAAGGGAGTTTGAAATTTCTTATGTATATTTTTTTGCAGAAATTGGTGTAGGCTTGGCAGGTTTTGGAGTATTTTTTCTATTCCTGGGAATGTTACTGTTGTTCGACAAGAGTTTACTAGCATTAGGAAATGCAAGTGGTCTAACAATTATTTTTATTCTATATATTACAGCTATTTTGTTGTATTTTAGATCTTATTTATAGCAGGATTAGCAGCAGTTATAGGACTGGAAAGAACATTCAGATTTTTCTTTCAAAGGCACAAAATAAGGGGCAGTATAGCGTTTTTTGGTGGTATTGTGATAGTGTTAGTCGGTTGGCCTATGGTGGGCATGATTTTTGAAGCATATGGCTTTTTCTTACTTTTTAGGTATGCTAAAATATTTTTAATTTATTTTTTAGTTAAATTCGTATTTTTTAGTGGTTTTTTCCCAGTTGCCATAAACTTTTTGAGAAGGGTTCCTATTCTAGGAACAATTTTGTACTTACCTGGAATTAGTAAGGTAGATATCAATTTTCTATACATAATACATATTGAATAACATAATCAGTGCCCAGTGCCCTCTCTAAAAGAACAGCCTCGGCGCGGACTTTTGTTTACTTAATCAGCTGTACACAAGATGTTCAGTCAGATTTCGTATTCACATTTTATTGATTTTAGGCATTATTTATTATTGTAGTTTAAAAAACTAATTACTTTGGTGCTTAAATGCATAACATAAATGTAAACATAAACTACCACCAGATATGTCACTCTCTGTTTCTCATAAAAAAAGCAGAAAAATTACATCTTTTGTAAGTGGTTTAACCAAAAAATTCATCAATAAAGTTTAAGTGGAGTGTGTTTTTGGTGCTAGGCCTTATCTTTGTTGTGTTCCTGGTTGCAAGGATAATTATACTAAGCAGTATAATTATCCTTGGAAACCAGGAAATTATAAAACAAGACAATTTTATTGAAAACATGTTTATTAAATTTAAAAATAATATTCTCCCAGGCTGGCATATAACAAAACTGGACAATTACATTTATTTTATTCATATTGTGGAATCTCCACTCCTAAGTGTTGTTGGTTCAGCTTTGATAGATTCAAATACTAAGTAGATATTATGATCTAGGGAAAAATAAAGAATATGTTGTTAAAGATCATGAAAAAGATTCTTATTTTAATTTCAAATTTAAACAAGATTTTTATAAAGACAAGAATGATCAATGTTTAAAAGAACATGTTTTTGTTTGATATTTTAATGTATGTAAAGCATAACAGATTTTTGTTCAGTAATTTCTAATGAATTATTTATAATACCAAACCAATATCAAATATTTAAGTGATGGCTGAATAGAATCTTAATAAATTAACAATAAAATTGGTATAATTGCAATAACAAATTAACTTTTAAGGATAAAGGTGGGTTCATACTTCGAGTATTAGCCCTAACCTTAACCTTAACATTAACCCTAAGAAATTAACCTTGAGAACTTAAGGAAAGGCCGTTCATACTTCTCCTACTTGTCTTAAGGAAATAATCAATATTCTCGTAAGCGCTTGCGCTCATATAAAACATGTTTTGAACTAACCTAAATTTACAATTATTTTTATTATTTCTAATACTAGAGAAACGAATTTTTACATTAATACATTCTAAACCAAAAAATATATGATTTATTAACATTTATAAACCGTCAAATTCAACATGTCAGATATTATTTGGAGAATTCTTAAAACCCCAAGCTTTGAGCATGCGCGATACAGTTTTGAATTAGCGTTAGCCCTAAGAATATAAAATATCCCAACCTGTTAGGACTAAGGCTAATGTTAGGACCGATACAATGAGAGCATGAACGCTAGCGTTCGTTAACGTTGATTCATATTCTTGGAGTTAGGACTAATGTTAGTGTTAGTGCTAAGATCGGAAGCATGAACCCACCATTAGTGTTAAAAATAAAAGGTTCTAAAAATAGTACAAAATTCATATTTCTTTGTTTTAATTTGCCTAATGATATTCACATTTTATATAAAAATTATTTAAGGTGCCCAGTGGCGTAGAGGTACAGGCTCTCGTCTACCAATCTCAAGGTAGTGGGTTCGATTCCCACACTCGGCATTGCATCAGCCGACTATTTTTATTAAAATAAAAATAATTTGGGTACCTAGGTCGACTCAGCCTTAAATGAGTACTTGGTATTCACAATCCTGAGGTAATAATAGGCGGTTGAAGCGTAGTGCTAGCCACATTACCTTCCTTGTATACCAAACGGCTCTAATATGGCAAGCTGTACCTTGCTACTCCCAAGGCGTTAAACGCTATATACGGGAGCTATTATTATTATTATAAAAATTATACCGTGTGATGAAAAAAAAGGACGTCCATTTGGCTTGAAAATGAACATTGATGACATTTCCCATATAATTTTACATACAGAATGACAGCGATCTTCATTTCATAGCCATCGCCGACGCCGTTTTTTTTTCGATCATATTGAATTATTTGCAAATATAATGTTTCAAACATTAATATTTGCAAAATATACATTTAAATTTTGCGAATGCAAATAATAATACATCACTAGTAGAAACTGAATGTTTTTTTGTTAAATTAGATCGATTTTCAAACCCAAAAAATTAAAGTAAACTGTATCATTTTTAAAATATAAACAAAAAATCTCAGCAATAAATATGTCTCCATGTATTGTACAACTACAACACATTTATTAATCCGTAATATCTAGCATGACCTCATAAATCTTGCTTAGGGGCTGTTCTCCTATCGAAGGCAATAACATAATTATAGAATTAGTAGAGTTCTTTGGACATTTTTAAAGATATGCTTCGTTAAAGTTATGTTATTCAAATATTACATTGATAGTAAAATAGAATTTTGTTTTTTTAATTTTCTAGTTAGTTGATAAATTGGCTGGGGACTCCAACAGAACAACAGTATGAGTAAATAAATGTTTTTTGAATGAGTATGGATGGAATACTGTGGTATATGTCAACTGTGGTGTACGGACATTATTATTGAATGTGTATATATTATTATTATTGTGAATTTAGGTAATATTTTGTTCAGATGCAGCAAACATAACTATATAATTATAAGGACATTAAATTGTATTTTATTTATATTTTGTAAAACATACCATTAAAATGTCTGATAAAATTATTTAGTTTACAATTATTATCTTTATGATTTTTTGTATATAATTTGATAATAAACAGCAATAATGGTGGTCTCGATTTCTTTCAAATTTATGTTTATATAGCCTTTTGAATTGCATACCTGTGCATACTGAACATAGACAAAGAAATAAAAAAAAATATTTCTTTGTCTATGATACTGAATTTTCATGAGGTTTTTGATCACATTTTTTACTTTCAATATTATTCCACAAAATAGAAATCAATTGTTCAAAAGTTGATTTCTATTTTGTGATTATTCCTACGATTTATGCAACCCAAAATACATCGCTGCTGTAAAAATTAAAATTATCAAAATATATTTGGTAAAATTGTTATTTATACTTATTTTTCTATTAAAATAGTAGGCAGTGAGGTATAGAAAAAATAATTGCCGATTTTTCCTGTAAATTTAGTTTCCAATATAGAATATTTTTTCATAAAATATCCACAAAAATTTACAAAATGGCAATACCGCAATGACATTTCAAACATCATCAATAATTTCAAATTTTCGTTCGTTTGTTTTTTGTCGGTTTTTTAGTTTTTTGGCTTTCGGCTTGTGCATCTCAAATTAAACAATTTAAAATATTAAGTAATTTTCATATAACTTGTAAAGATGGCAACGAAAACTGAAGACACCAGTTGTGTAAGTATAAAACTATTTAATATCAGACCTAATTATTTCCAATTTTCCGCAAATTTTAACTGAAAAATCGTTACAGTATAATCACAGAGTATAATATGTTATGTGTCTATTGCTCATCATTGTTTTTTAGCCTATGTTACAGGTTAAAAAAGTAATTTTTCAGCATTGCATCTTTTCAAATTATGCAGTGTTTCATCATATTCTTTCTAAATAGTTGTTTTCTAGAGACGCTACTAACTACTCTTTCTAAATAGTTGTTTTCTAGAGACTAAAGTCGCTACTAATGCCAAATTGTGTTATACTGCTAATGGCACTAATGCGATCGCTTTGTACACAACAATTCCATCGCGGTTTACACCTCGCATTAGTATATCACTGATTGGCAAATTAGAGGAAACCAAGAATGTGGTGCAGTCTAGAAATAATGTATAAGTTGCTGGTTTCAGAACTCTGTATGGAGGTGAATAATTACACTATTACACACAAAATTTTTACTTATTAGTAGAATAGGTACACGAGTAATTCATATAAAAGCACAATTCTGTTAAATTTATAAAACTTACATTAATAATACACTAACATTTTTCGTTCATTAGTCATCATTCATTTACGCATAAAAATACGAAGGCTAGTCGTCCGGGAAACCCCCTTTGTGATTCGATCAGATCATATTAAGTATATGGATCAGATATGATCTTTTTCTTTTTTTTTCGACTTCGGACTTGTATTTCGCATTCATCCATGCACCGAGAGGCTCAAAAATAAGCTCATTTGACGATCGTGAGCAGTCTCGGCCGTGGCCGATAATCTCGGTTTTTTTATGCCGAAAACGAGACCGAGATCTCGATCTGATTTTTAGCCGAGAATGACTGTAACCGAGGCCGAGGCCGAGATCGGCCGGACCTTATTTATTGTTGACGTATACATTACATTTCAGCTGGCAATAGTTTCGGATAAACCTTTTTTTAATATTTTTCTCATTAAAAACTTATAGGGGAGAGTAAAGTTAAAAAAAGTAAAAAAACGCAAGACCGCAAGAGTCCTACATGCTGGACTTGATCTTGTGTCAGTCTTACACTGGTCGGCCTTGGTCTTGCAGATGAAACGCAGTTTTGGTCATGATCTTTGATTTATGTGCAAGACCAAGACCAGTCTGGCTCATTACTAGTTATGTCTCATTTGTTCTAGTATCTCACGAAGGTTGATATCCAGCAATCGGTGAAAACGTTTAATTTATCGAAGGGGTTCGCAAAAAGACTACTTAGAATCGGCGTTCTGAATGTAATGCACCAGAGATTGGATATACCCCATGAAGAGTTTATTAAGAGAAGTTATGAAAGTGTCCCATACGTAATATTTCGAAGGAAGTCTAACAATAAATTTATTCGAAACTATCACGCATTTTCAGCGGGGATCATTGACGCTATTGAAAAGGATTATGTAACATTTTTTTCTTTATTAGCCCCCCCATATACCAGAAGATTTGGCCTGCGGATCTGGATTGCGTACTTGGCCTGTCACGTACCAGAACTCTCGTATTTGGAGATGGGTAAATCCGGTATTTTAAAAGAGTCGGGTCCGGAGTTACATTAAGCTACATGGACCTACATCCAGTTCTGCCAGACGGGCGTTACATACGGGCGTTACAAAAGTCCTTGTATTCTTTAGTCATTGCAAGAGACAGATAGCAGCATACTTTTAATAATTCTTTAGTTTCTTTTATTATCAATCATGGCCTACTAACAAATATGATCTTTTAACAAAAATTTCTAAATATTGAAGTAAATAGTAAAAATAAATATAGAGTGATATATATTTTTGAGAAGCTTATGGCAAGCCAGATCATGTACTTCATAAATATATAGGGTGTTCCATTTAAGAAAACTGTATTCTACGTAAAAAGTTCTACAATAAACAGTTTTCACCTTATCGATATCTTTCACAGTAACAGAGATACAGGGGGTGTCCCAAATTGCCAAAGACCCTGTATCTCAGAAACGAAGAGGGCTATGAAAATTTTGTTTACGGCATCTTCCGTTTGACAAAAAAGTGGAACAGGTTTGTGCAAGCCGCACCCTTCTATCTTCACGAATAAAGGAGATACCGTATGATTTCAACTAAAATGGGACATCCTGTACAATCATAACAATATCCGCAATTTTTTGAATTTCTCAATAAATTAACAACCCTAGACACAACTTTCAAATAATACAAAATAATTTCGAATACGGTTACGATTCCGCGAAAGTATAATTAAAAAACAGTAAATACAACTCAGCAGCAGTTACAATTCCCTCTTTATTCCAATACTGATTTATTTCGCTGCATCGATATGTTTTCGTTATCTGCCGACGACGTGGCCGCACAGTGGGGTATTTGACTCAGATAGTTGATCGAAATTTTTTTTATGTAGACCTTATATAAATTATTGCTAATTTCAATTAAAGAGGAAATAATATGAACAAAATAAAGGATAATTCGTCGATTCTAAAAAAAGAAAGAAAAATCACTGTTCCAGTGTTTCCACGGACAATGCCACTAATACCAGTAGAATATCGCAACTAATACTACTAATGCTATGACTGATCCGCGAGCAATGCCCTTACCACTAAAGTCGCTACTAATGCCAAATTGTGTTATACTGCTAATGGCACTATGCGATCGCTTTGTACACAACAATTCCATCGCGGTTTACACCTCGCATTAGTATATCACTGATTGGCAAATTAGAGGAAACCAAGAATGTTTTTCTCATTTTATCAGCAAAGTCGCAAAAAGTCGCAGTATTTTATTTTACTGTATGAAAGTCCAATGTTTACTAAGTAAAACGTATATAATGATGAATTCTTCGAAATGCGCAACTAAATCTCTAAGTATAATAAAAATGTCACAAATTTAATCAAATTTTCTGAACGCCCAACTTTTAGTTGCAAAAAACATCGTTAGTATAGAGAATATCAAAATTAATAATACGTTTCTGTAGAATACATACCTGCAGCTTGCTGAGCCATATTCAATCAAAACAATAATATAAACGTAAAAAGAGCACAAGAACAAAAACAATTTATAATTTTAGACATTAAATTTAGCCATTTTCCTCTTATCTGTGAGAAGTAACAACTTTGACGTTTCGTTGAAACAGATGAATGCAACTAAATACACCCATAGCAACGCCATTCATTGCAGACATAATTTAACTTATCATTTATCTTTTTTTGTGAAACCTTAAACACATTTGCTGTTTCTAATTTCGATCACCTTTTTCATGCTAATACCCCACCGTGGGCCGGTTGGCTGTCAGCAATGCAGTTTCGCGGATAGGGGTCGATATTAGTAGGATTTACATCATTTTATATAGGTACATAAATATTTATCGGAATAGAAACTGTTGCTTACAAAGAAAGAGCGTTACAAGTTACAAGTCCGCCGATTTTATCCTTCGTTTTTTATACCAATCTAATCTGACAGATCAAGTCAGCGGATTTGGCTTGGTCCGCCACATAAATACAAAGTTTTTATCTGCAGACCAAATCCCCCGGCCAAATTTTCTGGTGTATGTGGGGCTATATTGTTTGAATATTGTTTAAATAAAAACATGTTTTTAGTTAAAGGAAATTTTGATGTATTTCCGTGACAATGAGTCTGGAGAATTATTGGAAACTTATGGCTTTAAAATAAAATATAACAAGCAATCTTCTAAATCTAACGTTAAATCGACTGCTGTGAAGAAAGCAACTCTAGATTTTCTTCAAGCTATAGCCGATATACCGGGAGAAAAAATGGAATCTGACAAAATCGAGCTGGTTGTAGAGTGCACTTACAGAGACGGTATCTATTATACGAATTGCGTGTACCAGAAAGCTCGCAACAAATGGGATTTTGTTATTGAGTTATCAAAAAAAAAGTTGTAAAAGAAAAGAAATATTTCCATTTATCGCAAACTTTTTGCCACACCCTGTATTTTACAAAAGAAATTCAGTTAATTTATTTTGAGTAATACATACAAGGTTTGAAACATTCGCCTCTCACCGTTGGGTCTCGGAAACGGTAAGAGATATAGGGTGGCTTAAATTGGGGCAAAGTTGCCTCTTCGTAAACCCAATGATAATCCGTTTAGGATGTAATTATTGAACTTATCATTGTCATATCCGGAAATATGGCGGAAAGATTTGAATTACCTGTTTTTCCTTTTTATTTCTTTTTATTTGTAGAATAAATCTACAAATACGTACTACATAAAAGAGATTTCGTTTTTCAGGGGCCATCATGATGTTTTAAATAAGACCTGGATTTTTATTTTTTAGTTGCTTATGACTTCCTACCGTATGATCGAATAAAAACGGCGTCAGCGATGGCTATGAAATGAAGATCGCTGTCATTTTATATGTAAATTTATATGGGAAATGTCACCGATCGTCATTTCCCAGCCAACTGGACGCCGTTTTTTTTCGATCATACGGTATAAATGCAATTATGTATCGCACTTCCCCAAAAAATGGGGTTTGTTTTTTCCATACACATGACGAAAGTGACCCGTATACCCATCTCTCTCCCACACATTGCCTCTTATGAGAATATTATTCATTATACAGGGTTGTTCACCACATACGACACGGAGTATTGTAGCTAAACGATTAGATTTTTACAAATTATAAGTTTTGGGTTTGTTGAAGGACTATTAGAGCTACAATTTAAAAATATTTTTACAAGATACAGAGTGTCCCAAATAAATAAAAAATATCATAGTTGTATTTTTAAATGGAACACCCTGTATATTATTACATTTTTAGTTTCTACGATTAAAACAAAGGTAAATTTGATTAAGGTTTATCACCCTTAAACCTTACCGTTTTTGAAATATTTTCAATTTTGTGAAATGTAGTAAAAAGCAGTAAAAATGTTAAGGCTTAATTCCTCCAAGGGTATCAAAGTTTTTAATACTAAATATTTACTGAAGTTGAATTATTGATCAGTTATTGTGTTGCAATTATTAAAATAATACTACCTCATACAGAGTGTCCTGTTTACTTTTAACTTGTTTAATTTAAATGGAACACCCTGTATATTTAGGGAGAATCAGATGCACAATTTAATTGTCCATCAAATTGTATTATACCATTTTTTACCTATCCCTTCCAGTTTTCATAGAAAATGCATTTTCTTATAATTTAGACCTCATTTATCAATATACCCATGGAATATTGACATTTTAGAGTGTTTTTAAAGCAACAAATATACAAAATGTACAGGTGCTAAAAACAATAATATTACCAGCCTATTTATATACAAACATAAAACTATTTAAATCTTTATAAAAGAGTATACCATTAATTAAATATACCACCAGTATTTCCGCCCGAATATTAATTAATTATATATTTAATTGTGTTAGTTAATAAATTATTCGAAATAAATGTGGATTTTGAATCAGAAATCAATATAATAATAAGTTATGAAAATGAACGTCTCTGTTGTTATAAATCAGCATTCGTCAAAAAATTAAATAAAATTTTTAAGGTGTTACTTTTTACCACACTGTCTAATACACATACAAAATTGAGTTTTTTAGTATTTGAAGCAATTATTATTAATCAACGCAAACAGTCAATTAATGCAGTTTGAATACTGGAATCATATTATTTGGTACCTACTCTTACAAATATTTAAACATTTTTTTTTATTTTTTAATGACGTAAACGAACTATATCGACAATATTAGTATCTGTACCCTTTAAAAGTTTGTTACATCTTTAAAAATAATCTAAAATGTCAAAATTCCATGGGTATATTGATAATTGAGGTCTAAATTATAAGAAAATGGATTTTCTACGAAAGCCTGAAGACATAGGAAAAAAATGATATAATACAATTTGATAGACAATTAAATTGTGTATCTGATTTTCACAAAATATACAGTGTGTTCTATTTAAATTAAAGAAGTTATTGCCGTTTTAAGCTCGTTATTATTTAAAATAAATTTTTAGACACTCTGTATAAGGTAGTATATTTTTTATTATTGCAACAAAAAATTTAGTAAATAGAAATACTTCAGTACAATATTTAGTTTTAAAAACTTAAATACGCCTAGAGAAATAAAGAATTAAAATTATTACTGTATTTTGACAAAAACCTAAATATTTCAAAAACGGTAAGATTAAAATGCGGTAAACCTTAATCAAATTTACCTTTATTTTAATCGTAGAAACTAAAAATGTAATAATATACTGGGTGTTACGTTTAAAAAAATACAACCTTGATATTTTTTTATTTATTTGGGACACTCTGTATCTTGTAAAAATATATTTAAATTGTAGCTCTAATAGGCCTTCGACGAACCCAAAACTTGCAATTTGCAAAAATTTGCAAAAATAGTTTAGCTACAATACTCCGCGTCGTATGGGGTGAACAACCCTGTATATTTCTTGGGCAAGTGCGCTACATCATTGTATTTGGGAGATCATAAACTTCTAAAAAGTGAAATAAAAAACCCATATCCATATTTAAAAAAATAAAGTTGATGATGGTTCCAGACCATATTTAAAAAAATAAAGTTGATGATGGTTCCAGAAAAACGAAACGTGGTAAGTGATTTTTCAGGTCATCTGTCAAGGATAATGCTAAGAAAGTTTCTTTGATAATATCTTTATAGATTTTTCTGTCAAGATAAACTCGTAAGAAATAACAATGAAAACTGGAAATTTCAGTTTTGCCGCCATATTTCTGGATATGATCAATAGTGAGGGTTGAATTTGTAACACTCTGTATATGACTACACTTCAGTCTTTTTATTTTTGAACGCATCAATAGTTGTGATGGTATTTATTATACAGAATCTACGAAAAAGCTCGCAACAAATGGAAAACGTTTTTAGTATTGGGTTATTAAAAAAAAGAAACGTTTCATTTGTTGTGAATTTTTTGCGAATTTATTTTGAATATATTTTTTTTGGTCAAATTTAGAGGTTCCACTAGAATATGAGCCTCCTTACTTCGAGGTAGCAAAAGAGCCATACTGTCTAGATAATAGTGTAAATAAAGTCGTTAATTTGGGCGAAGTTAATACAGGTTTTCATAAGATTAATTGTTATGGCAGAGGAAAAATGGTATGTTAAATCAAAATATTTTTTAACACACCTAATACCGTATAAAAAAAAAACGGCCTGAAAGACGACTGGAGAATGACAATCGATGATAATTTTGGCGAGGTCAAGCCCTAGACGTGAAGTTTTATGTCAATTTTTAGTAAATGATGTCTATAAATTGACCTCGCCAAAATTATCATCGATTGTCATTCCCCAGTCATCTTTGATGCCGTTTTTTCTTCGATCATACGGTATTATTTATTTGTGATTGATTTTAAGTTTAACACTTCGAGACAATCCAGTCCTATATCTAGTAGAAATAACCAGGACGAAATTGAGGCCGAAATTCCTGAAACTGAACGGGTCGAAGAAAATATGGCAGGCGGTACAAAATCACCTGTATCCGGTAAGAATTTTATTATTGTTAATATTAACAAAAAAGTTCGAAAATTTTACACAAAATCTAGAAATACAATAAAATACACAAAATCTAGAAATACATTTAGAATAGATACAGGGTGACCTGGTTAAGATATAAAGATATAAAAAAAAATTATACAAATGTGCATGGTTTATGATGGTGCATATCCTAAAATTTATCCTTTTTAATATAGACAGATATTAAAAAAAACATATGTTATATACGCCACATTTTTTGAAGCACCCTGTATACTCAAAAATCATTTTAAATTCTGCACCTTATTATTAATAATGCCCTAAAGTCTAAAGCTATTTTTGTATTTAATATTTTTTTCTTAATTTTTCAAACAAATGAGGTAATGAATTTTGTTTTATTTTTCACTGGCCCTGTACATAGTTATATTTTACTTTTTTACATAGATGAGCAGCCACACAAGAGACCAAGAACTAATTCGTCTGTTATAGATTTAACTGATGGTAAGTTAACATAAGTATATTTCAGAGATATGGAAGTGGTTTTGAAATATTTTCAACATAATCTCCATGCCCTACGTGAAAATAGAGGTGTAATGATTTTTGGCGTCACTATAGTAGTTAAACTTAGAGAGATATACGACCTTGAACGATCTGTTAATTTAGATAATTATTTCCTGTCGCACTAGATGGCTTATCAAGTTTTTATAGTTGCCTAAAAACTGACAAAAAGGGAGATATTTTGTTTCTTTTTCTACTGATCTAAACCACACTTTCAAATTTGATACCGGTAAAACATCAGCTGTTTATTGTTATTTCTGAACTTTCGATCTTCATTGTTGTAATTAATGTAGTTTTCCACTGGATTTGTGATTTTAGATCTTTACTGCGACAGGTGAGGGAGTAGTTTGTGATACAAACATCATTTTTATAAACCGAGTTAGTAATTTGTGTGTGAAAACATTGTTTATTTAAAATTAAATTGTTTCAGGTACGGTTTGTCCAGTTTTGTATTATAATAATTTTTGTAAGTACTTCTATTTTTATGAATATTTAAGTTACTTCTACTCTTAATTTTTTGGAAAAATTATGTACCTATAAAACTAGAATTAGAATTAGAATGAGTAGGAGGGGGGTTAATCACTGCGACCTTACAGATCTATTGTGTCCCCCTTTCTGGAGTTATAACTCAACATACAGTCCCAGGGCTTTGACAAAATCCAGTATCTGGGACGGTTTTATAGAAGGTAGTTCTCCATCTCCAATATAAGTCGTACCAAAGTTCATGGTACGAATGGTTGTCGTCTCGGCGCACTCAGTGATGAGGTGTACTGGTGCTTCCCCACTTTCCCCATAGAATCTGCATTCGCCGTTTCTTCTTAGTTCCAATCTACTGAGGTGTTCATTGAGGAGACAGTGTCCTGTTAAAAACCCCGTGACAATCCGAAGATTGTTCTTACTTAAACCCAGGAAGATCTTTGATTTTTCTTGATCGTATAAAAACCTATAAAACTATTTCGAGGAAGTTTTTTCGAAGAAACTATTTCAAATTTATATTAACTTTATTAATAAATTAATAAAGATAGATTTATTAATAAATACCTATCTTATAGTTTGAATTTATTTTTATATGTATTGTAAAATGTGTGATGGAACCATTTGCGACTACAATATTTTAACTTTAACCCCTTTTTATACTATAATATCTATGACTACTATCGTGATGTGACTGATGTTTATTTGAGCCTGTATTTTCTGTAGGTTACCGAACATATCTGTACAAAATTTTATATGACAAAAATCTATGTCTCTGGACAAAACCAAGGTTGTTGGGACAAAACAGAAAAATAGTAATCTACAGGGTGTAAAATAAATGCGAAAATATGCAGTTTATTTTAATGCAAAAAATCTGATGTTCTCGTACAATGTTGCTTATATGTAGTGGACCAAATTAGGTAAACCTCAATTTGTACAAACACACGCTCCTTTATTGGGGCAATTGTCACTTATATATTTACACCCTGTATATTGTACAGGGTATGCACAATATTTAGAGTTATTTTCACTGCAGTGGGAAGTTTGGATGATCACATTAGCCTAGTGTCCGATGGGAGATACGTCACTTGCCCCTGTTTATGGGAGTTGGGCAGCAACTTCGAGACAGTAAAATGCTCGAAATGTTTTGGAGAGGTCCATTTGGTCTGTCATGGATACGTCAATATCAATGACGTGGACCAAACCACGTTCAACTGTGTCCAATGTGACCGTCCTGAGGATGAGCAATACGTCATGTTGCTAATGAAATTTAGGTGAGTATATTTGTTTCTATGATAACTTATATCCATGGATCATACACCATTGGGATCTCGGAAACGGTAAAAGATACAGGGTGGCTGGAATTGGAACAAAGTTGCTTGTCAATGAACCCAGTGTTGATCAGTTTTAGTAATTGAACTTATCTTTGTCATTTCCGGAATTATGAAGGAAAAAAAAATAAATATCCGGTTTACGTTTTTATATTTTTATATTTTTATGAGTTTATTTTAACAGTTAGAAAAAATCCACAAATACATTCTTAAAGAAACCTTTTTTAGCTTCATCCTTTCGTGACGTGAAAAATCACTTAGAGGTTTTCTGGAACCATGATCAGTTATATTTTTTTAACATGGATATGGGTTTTTATTTTATTTTTTTAGAAACTTGTGACTGTGCTTATGATCTCCCAAATGCAATGATGTAGCGAACTAGCCCAAGTAATGTATAATGAAGATATCGTGTAAGAGAGACAGTGATGTGTTCTCATAAGAGACAGTGTGTTAGTGAGAGATGGGTGCGGTCACTTTCGTTATGTGCGTGTAAAAAACAAGCAACATTTTTTACGTGTGCGATGCATCAATGCATTCGGGTGCACTTAGCTTTTAAAAAATTAAATAAAAATCTAGGTCTATATTTAAAAAATCAAGGTTGATGATGGACCAAAGGATGACGTTAAAAAAATTTCTTTGAGAATGATTTGTACATAGATTTTTTGAACTGTTACTCGTAAAAAATCAAAAAGGAAACCGAAGATTTTACTTTTCCGCCATTTTTCCGGAAATGACAAAGATAACTTTAACCACTTAATAACGGATTATCATTGGGCACATTAACATTCAACTTTGGCCTAACTTGAGACTTGAGCCACCCTCTATTTACTACCATTTTCCAGATCCTAATGCTGAGGAGCGTCGAATTTGAAACACCCGGTATATGACACTCACATGCGCATGTCTATTAATCTAATATGTTAGTGCGGGTTTACATGCATCCGTAATTTCGTCATGCGTCCTCCATAGTTGATTTTATGCAGTTTTTTATGAAGTCCGCATCATATGGAACTACTTTTTTACCTATTTATTGACTTAGGTGAAATTCGATTCCAGCTGTAGTTTCTGCTTTGATATAAATTAAAAAATGAATTAAGAAAATGTAGCATGTTGCTCTCGGGTAACTAATTAATAAAATAATAGGTTTTCTAGCCAAATTTCGAGAAACTTTATTTGAAAAAGTTGTTTCTTTTTTAATTTTATATAAATATACCAATTTTCAGCCATCTAGACGTGACAATTTTTTTCGTAATTTTTAACCAATAGCAGCAGATTCTCGTGAAAAAAAACTAATAGGAGCCTGTTTCCTGTTTGTAATTCAAATATTTATCTAGTACTCATATACAGGGTGGTGGTTCGAACTGTATTCCGGAAATTTTAGAAGCATATTCTGCAGATAAAAATAGCTAAAAAAGTTCATATAAATGTATGTACTTAAATGCTTAGTTTCGGAGATCCATGTTGTAGAAGTTTCACTTTTATTTGGATTTTTTCCAAATAATTTCTGAAGTAACGTAGGTATTTGGATGAAAATTGGTATCTAGGAATTTTTTTGCCATGAGAAATTTGATTTTGATGTCAATATGACTCCTACTTGTAGAGGGCGCCATCTACAAATTTTTTACCTGGTTTGAGAGATCTTTTCGATCGTACCTCGTATAAAACTATTGAGTAAAAGAATATACATTTAAGAGGTTTTTTTAAGTAAAAAAGGTCCCTTGGTAAAAATCGCTACGAGTAATATGGTTCTCGAGATATTTTGAATCGAAATTAACAATACCTGTCATCACTGACATAAATTAAACAATTGTTTTTGTGTCAAAAGTTCAACAGAAACTGTCATTTTTTCGAAGAAAAATTTACGATTATTTTTAAAAAATAAAAACTTTTCAAATTTATCATTTCAGTCAAATAACTATCTACTCGTATTTATTTTTTTGTCAATAATGACATGTATTTCCATTCTAAATATCTTGCGAACGGTTGCTCGTAGCGATTTTTATCACAAGAGACATTTTTTACATAAAAAATCAGGGAAATGTACATACATTTTTTCACTCAGTAATTTTTATACAGGTATGGACGAACAGTTTATTACTCTTCAAAACGTTTAAAACAAAATTTGTTTTAATTGATTTTCAATCATTTTTTTTCACTTTAGTTACCCAACTTAAGTTTAAAAATTAGGCCTGCTATAGTGGTAAGTTAAACCATTTTTCGTTATACTTTCATTTTGAAATTCTAATCAGAGACTTATGGCTTATAGGGCAAATGATCCCGTCCCTCCAACCCAAGTTCCCAGCATGTAGAAACATGAATTTGATGATGCCATCTCGATAAATAAGAAAATTGTTACTTTGACTTTGTTTTTGGCTTTCGGCTTGTGCATCTCAAATTAAACAATTTAAAATATTAAGTAATTTTCATATAACTTGTAAAGATGGCAACGAAAACTGAAGACACCAGTTGTGTAAGTATAAAACTATTTAATATCAGACCTAATTATTTCCAATTTTCCGCAAATTTTAACTGAAAAATCGTTACAGCATAATCACAGAGTATAACATGTTATGTGTCTATTGCTCATCATTGTTTTTTAGCCTATGTTACAGGTTAAAAAAGTAATTTTTCAGCATTGCATCCTTTCAAATTATGCAGTGTTTCATCATATTCTTTCTAAATAGTTGTTTTCTAGAGACGCTTGTTGGTGGTGCAGTCTAGAAATAATGTATAAGTTGCTGGTTTCAGAACTCTGTATGGAGGTGAATAATTACACTATTACACACAAAAATTTTACTTATTAGTAGAATAGGTACGCGAGTAATTCATATAAAAGCACAATTCTGTTAAATTTATAAAACTTACATTAATAATACACTAACATTTTTCGTTCATTAGTCATCATTCATTTACGCATAATAATACGAAGGCTAGTTGTCCGGGAAACCCCCTTTGTGATTCGATCAGATCATATTAAGTATATGGATCAGATATGATCTTTTTCTTTTTTTTCGACTTCGGACTTGTATTTCGCATTCATCCATGCACCGAGAGGCTCAAAAATAAGCTCATTTGACGATCGTGAGCAGTCTCGGCCGTGGCCGATAATCTCGGTTGTTTTATGCCGAAAACGAGACCGAGATCTCGATCTGATTTTTAGCCGAGAATGACTGTAACCGAGACCGAGACCGAGATCGGCCGGACCTTACTTATTGGTGACGTATACATTACATTTCAGCTGGCAATAGTTTCGGATAAACCTTTTTTTAATATTTTTCTCATTAAAAACTTATAGGGGAGAGTAAAGTTTAAAAAAGTAAAAAAATGCAAGACCGCAAGAGTCCTACATGCTGGTCTTGATCTTGCGTCAGTCTTGCACTGGTCGGCCTTGGTCTTGCAGATGAAACGCAGTTTTGGTCATGAACTTTGATTTATGTGCAAGACCAAGACCAGTCTGGCTCATTACTAGTTATGTCTCATTTGTTCTAGTATCTCACGAAGGTTGATATCCAGCAATCGGTGAAAACGTTTAATTTATCGAAGGGGTTCGCAAAAAGACTACTTAGAATCGGCGTTCTGAATGTAATGCACCAGAGATTGGATATACCCCATGAAGAGTTTATTAAGAGAAGTTATGAAAGTGTCCCATACGTAATATTTCGAAGGAAGTCTAACAATAAATTTATTCGAAACTATCACGCATTTTCAGCGGGGATCATTGACGCTATTGAAAAGGATTATGTAACATTTTTTTCTTTATTAGCCCCCCATATACCAGAAGATTTGGCCTGCGGATCTGGATTGCGTACTTGGCCTGTCACGTACCAAAACTCTCGTATTTGGAGATGGGTAAATCCGGTATTTTAAAAGAGTCGGGTCCGGAGTTACATTAAGCTACATGGACCTACATCCAGTTCTGCCAGATGGGCGTTACATACGGGCGTTACAAAAGTCCTTGTATTCTTTAGTCATTGCAAGAGACAGATAGCAGTATACTTTTAATAATTCTTTAGTTTCTTTTATTTACAATCATGGCCTACTAACAAATATGATCTTTTAACAAAAATTTCTAAATATTGAAGTAAATAGTAAAAATAAATATAGAGTGATATATATTTTTGAGAAGCTTATGGCAAGCCAGATCATATACTTCATAAATATAGGGTGTTCCATTTAAGAAAACTTAACTTCAGTTCATATCTTTAAAAATATTATTTTCGTAGAATAACCGACTAAGCCACTGTATTCTACGTAAAAAGTTCTACAATAAACAGTTTTCACCTTATCGATATCTTTCACAGTAACAGAGATACAGGGGGTGTCCCAAATTGTCAAATTTTCAAAAAGACCCTGTAGCTCAGAAACGAAGAGGGCTATGAAAATTTTGTTTACAGCATCTTCCGTTTGACAAAAAAGTGGAACAGATTTGTGCAAACCGCATCCTTCTATCTTCACGAATAAAGGAGATACCGTATGATTTCAACCAAAATGGGACATCCTGTACAATCATAACAATAATATCCGCAATTTTTTGAATTTCTCAATAAATTAACAACCCTAGACACAAATTTCAAATAATACAAAATAATTTCGAATACGGTTACGATTCCGCGAAAGTATAATTATAAAACAGCAGACCAAATCCCCCGGCCAAATTTTCTGGTGTATGTGGGGCTATATTGTTTGAATATCGTTTAAATAAAAACATGTTTTTAGTTAAAGGAAATTTTGATGTATTTCCGTGACAATGAGTCTGGAGAATTATTGGAAACTTATGGCTTTAAAATAAAATATAACAAGCAATCTTCTAAATCTAACGTTAAATCGACTGCTGTGAAGAAAGCAACTCTAGATTTTCTTCAAGCTATAGCCGATATACCGGGAGAAAAAATGGAATCTGACAAAATCGAGCTGGTTGTAGAGTGCACTTACAGAGACGGTATCTAT